ATGAACAATTGGAAATTGAAATTAAAATCTGTGTGCAATAGCATCAAAAAATATGAAGTACTTAAGGATAAATCTGGCAATACTGTGAGACTTATAATTGAAAACTATAAAATATTGCTGATAGAAATTGAAGACCTAAATATGGAGACATATACCTTTTTGAGAGTCAGAAGACTAAATATTGTTATCATATTGTCACTATGACAAACAGTATGTCAAATACTAAGCTCCCCACTTTGATCCCCAGAGTCAACATGATCCTGATCAAAATCTCAGCCTGGGTGGCTCAGTCATGATCCCAGGGTCCTGGGATCGAGCCCTGCATTGGGCTCCCTGCTCCACGGAGAGTCTCCTTCTCCCTCTGCCTGCCGCGCCCACTTCTTGTGTGCTCTATCAAATAATAAAATCTTTAAAAAAAAAAAAAACCTCAGGATTTGTTGGTAGAAAACAACAAGCTGATTGTACAGGTCATATAGAAAATTTCAAGGACCTTGAACAACACAAACATGACCTGATTTCAAGACTTACAATAAAGTTATGGTAATTAGAAGAGCATGGTATCAGTATAAGATAGACAAAAAAAAAATCACTGGAATAGAACAGATGGTCCAGAAGTAGATTCATACATACCTGGCAATGGACTTCTGACAAAGGTGGAAACACAGGTGGAGAACGAGACGTCTGTTCAACCAAGAGGACTGGAACTATTGGATATATCCCTGTGCAAAGAATTGATTCATGCCTCAGTCATAAACATAAATGAACTCAAAATGCTTCATTGAAATGAATGCAAAGCCTAAAACCAGAAGAAGTTAAGCAAAGATTTCTTAGATTTAACACCAAAAGCAAGATTCATAAAAATTTCATAATTTAGATTTCATCAAAATAAAAACTTCCACTTTTCAAAATACACTGTTAAGTGAACAAAAGGCCAAACCACAGATTGGGGGGAGAATCATTGCAAAGCATATATGTGAACAAGGACTTATATCCAGAATATATAAAGAACTCTCAAAACTCATTCATAAGAAATAACCCAGGAAGTTAACACTTGACCAGATTAAGATGTGTGCATAGGAAATAAGCACATGAAAAAATGTTCAACATCATTACTTCTCAGGGAAATGCAAATTAAAGCCACCATGAATTATCATACATACTTATTAGAATGACTAAAATTAAAAAAGAATGATTTAAATTAAAATACCAAGTGGTGGAGAAGCTGGAAATAATACACTGCTGGTGGGGATGTACAATGGTACATCACCTTGGAAAACCGGTTGTTAGTTTCTTAGAAAGGAGTATGTCAAATGCTCCAACCATCCCTTTGCTAAGCATGTACCCTTGAGAAAATAAATTCTGCATCTACATCCATCTACTTGTATATCAGTATTCACAGCCCCTCTATTGGTAAAAGCCAAAAACTGGAAAAAAAACTCAAATGCCCATCAACAGCTGAATACATAAGCAAATTGTGCTAGATCCATACAATGAAATGCTGCTCAGCAATAAAAAGGAATAATAACCTATTGATGTATGCAGCAACATGGGTGAATCTCTATGCTGAGTGAGATAAGCCAGAGAAGTAGAATACATGGTGATTATGTATTCCATATATAAAACTGTAGGAAATGCAAACTGTCAGGATAGAAATTCTGCTTGGGGAGGCCCAGTCAGCAAGTGGCAGGAGGTGGGATAAGACTTGGATGAGGAGACTTGTGGAGGTGAAGGATATGTTCAGTTTGAATGTGATGAAGTTCTCACATATGTATTCGTATGTCAGAACTTACAGATTGTGCACTTTGAGTATGTGTAGTTTACTGCATGTGAGTTTTACGTCAGAGCCATAAAAAATACGCATTTTGTCTCATTACCTTTTTTTTTATAGTGTTTGGAAGAAAATGTTTCATTACCTTCTTATGTAAAAAGTAGTATTCTATACTTTTCTCCAACCCTCTAAAAAAAAAACATTGTAGAAACCATACACTAGCAGTATATAAAATTTATTTTTTTCCATTTTCACAGTATACTTTAGTGTATTGAGCAACTCTTCTATTGATGGACATTTTGGTTGTTTGCAGTCTTTTGTTATTATAAATAATGCTGGAATAACATAGTTTTGTTCATTTATCTTTTCAACATTTGTTGTTGTGTCCACAGTATCTTTGAGATCTTTAGAAGTGGGATTGTTGCATCAAAAAGTAAATACACAAGTAATTTGGGGAGATGTTGCTAAATTCCCATTCATAGAGGTTGTGTCATTTTGTATAACAGTGAGCCATGTGTGAGAGTACTTGTTTCCCCTACATTTCTCACCAATTGAGTATGTTGTCAGATGTTTAGATCTTGCCAGTATAAGTGAGAAATGGTATCTCAGTGTAGGTTTAATTTGTATTTCTTTTATTATGAGCTGAGGCAGAGCATGTTCCCATGTTTGTGAGCTGTTCCTGTTTCTTTTCCTGAGAACTGTTGATTCTTTTATTTCAGCTCATTTTTTCTATAGGCTGTTTTCTTCTCTGTTTACTTATACAGTTCTTTATACTTTAGGAATATTAACCCTTTGTCCCTAATGTTACAAATATTTTTTTCTCTGGTCGTCATTGTCAAACTTTTTTGACATTTTGCATTTTTTTGCGAGCAGGGGCTAGACAAGTTTTTTATTTTTAAGTAGTTTGCAAATACTTTCTCTTGGATTTTGAGGCATAATTAGGAAAGTTTTGCTCATTCATAATACATCGAGAAATTCACCCGTGTCTCTTCTAGTACTTTCCATTTTTTTACATTCAGGTTTCTGATCATTTGGAATTTATCCTTATGAAAAAAATCCAATTTTAACATTTTCCATATGGCTTAGTTATACTAACATCACTTACTAAAAAGTGTCTTTTTCCCCAGCTGACTTTTATTGTATCCCAAATTTTCAATGCAGTTGGGTCTATTTTTGGATTTTCTGTTCTGTTTCATAATCTATCTGTATTCTTGGGTCAAGTTTCTTACTGTTTTAATTGCACAGCCTGCTTTCACCTCCCATCCCACCCCCCCTCCATTGCTCTTCTCTTTGAGGATTTTCCTGATTGTTCTTGCTTGATTGTTCCGAATTGCCTTTATATTAAACTGGAAGACATACCTTTAAAGATTTACAGACATCATTTTTCCTCCGGGTTAAATGTCCCCAGTTTTTTCAACTTTTACAACGTACCTATGCATAATCCTCGTCCTTTTCCACAAGTTACGTAACTATAAAATACAGGATCCTTGGGTATGGTGTGGTACTGACATGGCTCCTTAGAAGCGTTATTCCCGGGCATCAGCAGGAATGTGAGACAGTGTGAGCATGTGGAGTAGGAAGAGGAAAAGCTGAGCGGGGGACTAGGAGATACCAGGGAAGGCAGGCCTCGCCCTGGAGACGGGTGTGTGTGTGTGTGTCTGTGTGTGTCTGTGGGTCTGTTTTTACTCGGGGGCGGGAGAGGCTGCTCTCCCGTCTGGGCAGTGGGACCGGTGCCTGCACGCAGGGACACAAGGCCGGCCCTGAGGGGCGTGAGCGGGGCGTATCTCTCCAGCCCGTGCTCCGCTTCCTCGTAGCCCCCGGGACCCTTTACGTGCGCGGTCTCCCCCAGCTTCTGCGGCAGGTGAAGCTTCCGTCAGCGCGCGTCCCTTAGTTTCTTCTGCGCAGGTCGCCTCGCTCGACCGTTGGCTTTGGTCCGCCATGGTCCCGCCCCCTGCGTGCCCGGCCTCCGTAAGCACGTTTACGTCCTCCGAGGGGCATTGTCTGATGACGTCTTTTCCAGGAGGCGTAGGGCGGAAAGTACCAGCGGCGGAAGGCGAAGTTCACTCCCCGGGTCCGCCTCCTCAGCCGGCCCCTTTTCGAAGAGGAAACGGTGGAAGAGTGGGCTCCAGTGCTGTTTCGCGGGGGGACGTCGCCTCCGCTCAGCTGTCCCCACACAATGGACTCAGTTCCTGCCACTGTGCCTTCTGTCACCGCTTCCCCCGGGGACTCGGAACTTCTGGGACCCCTGTCGGTCCTCTACGCAGCCCTTATAGCCAAGTTACTGGAGGTGACGGTCCCCATTCCCAGGGAGGGACCCCAGCTCTGGCAGGCGGGTAGACGAGTTGTGAGCGGAGTTGGCGCGCCGACGGGTCGAGGGAGAACTGGAGTGGGTCAGGCCCGAGACAGGCAAGACGTTGCAGTGCTGTTTAGGGAGGCCAGGGGGAGTGATTTTAAGAAGGTTTCGTCACTTGTTCATTTGTTACTGATTTCTTAGATTGTACCAGGCGCTATGTTATTTTCTGGTAGACCGTCACAATCTCTCAGGTCCTTTTCCAGTGACCCCCGGCACTGTTGTGGGGTGGGGCCGGTATGATAGTTATTTGTGTGCTTGTAGGGGGCAGTGAAAGTGTAGAAGCAAGCAGGTGTTTAATGCAACTGTATTCGAGGAAGCATTTAAAATAAAGGCACTGCCTTATGTAGAAGACAGTTAAATTCAGAGCAGTCTGGACCGGTTATCAGGAGCCGTCTGAGCTTACTCAGCATTTATTTTTACATAAGGGTAGAATAAAGATTTAAAATCTTAGAGGAAAAGCACATTACTTGGGCTATTTGCTATCATCATTTTGGTTTTATTTGTAGCCATAGAAGTTGATTATCTCTCTTAGGGTGTTCAACTTTGTGTTTTATGTGCCTTTTTAAATTATAAAGAGGAAAGTCTGATCCAAAGAGATTCTAGACATGTCCTAGACAACGTGATATTGTAAGTCCTATTGCAAACTGGAAATATGTGTTCAGCTTAAAGACGTTTAGATTCATAATATTCAAAAACACTTCAAGCCAAACAAAAAATATGAGGCTGCCAGTATCCCATCTTTATTGAAGCAGTGGAAGCTACTGAAGGGGGGTAGTTATCTAATGGAGGTTGGTTTAGAATTTCTGTGGATGATTCTTTGTGACTGTTCTGTTCTAAATTCTTCATGGCTTCTTGTTATTTCCAATATTTCTGTTTCAGTTAGTTGCTACATTGCCTGATGATGTTCAACCTGGGCCTGATTTTTATGGCTTGCCATGGAAGCCTGTACTTATCACTGCCTTCTTGGGAATTGGTTCATTTGCCGTCTTCTTCTGGAGAACTGTCCTTGTTGTGAGTAAATTAAACTTATACTTTGACTCATCAAGACAACAGATATTTTATAATCACTAGCCCTTTTGTTTCTTTCTCAGTTACTAACATCTACACGGATGCTTATAATCTCAGCTAACCTTGTGAAATAATTCAGTGTAATCTTTGTTGGTAAAGACTTAAGTGAACAAGACAACATGTATAATCTTAATGGGAAACTTTGATTTATAAATCTTAAAATCTAAGGATTAAATGTATATGTACCTACTTGGGCACATGTATATGTTCCTACTAGAACTGGGAACTCTTACAGCCATCTTGAAAAGCAGTTAAATAATATGTATCAGAAGACTTAACATTCATATCCTTTTATTATAGTATAAAACCATGTCTAATTAATGTATCCTAAAGAAATAACCAGTCATGCATTAAAAATCTTGTATAAGGGTGTTCAGTGAAACACTCTTTGTTAGAGTGAAAACTAAATGATCCATAGTAGGGGAATTGTTAACTTATTGTACATCCATATAATGGGATAGTAGGTCACTCTAAATTTGTTATTTCAAAGATACTGGGGCCCAGAAAATGCTCACAATTTAATAGTAAGTGGAAAAAAACAGAAATCAGGACTGTAAAATATAAACTGTGTGTTTTATACACACACACACACACACGCATAGAAAAAATGCTACAAGACAACAAAATAGTAAATTTCATGCCAATTTATCTAGGATGGTAGGTAATTTTGTAGTATTTTTCTATATGTATCTGTTTCAGAGATTTTTCTAATTTGATCACGTGCTGTTGGGCTCATAAAATATATTTTTATTTGGAAATACAGATTACATCCAAAGACACACTATGAAATTTTTATTTCTTAAGAGTCTCTTCCCGGGCAGAACTTGTCTTTTGTGCTTATCTATATATGCATGCTCATGTATACTCATTCTTGTGGCTGTGTTAATGTCATTTTGTTTCATAATTGTCTAACATAACAAGAAAAAATCATTATGAATGAGCTTTGCAGATGAGAAGCTTTCAGGTTCAGTTGAAGCTTAACAGTTAAAGTAGCCAAAGCATTGGATGCATGTCTTTCTAAGAGTATTTCTTTTTCTGATCTCTTAATTTTATCAGACATATCATTGTTCATAAGCTTTCTCTCCTTGCACAAGTGATGATAAAAATCACTTAAAAAGAAAGGTCATTTGCTTGGATTCCCGGGAACAGTCCTCTAACATCATGGGACTTTTCCTCAGATGAAAGGAGAAAGGGCACATAGAAAGGATGAGTGGAAAGGGAAAAGGTGAAAACGTGTTTTATTTCCCACTCTTGTTTCTCCCCTCTTAAAAATCCTAACATCTGTTTGCGTTTTCACAGGGTGATGCAGCCTTTATGTCCTAACTGCTGCTTCTCAGCCTCAGCATTTGACTTTGGAACCTTTGGTCCCTGCTCTCATTTGCCTGCTTCTTGCTTCTTCCTCCCTCCTCCTGCCTACTGATTTGGGTGAGAGGAGAGGAGAAGAAGCTTTACTGTTTCATTAGCAAGGCTATTACATGGGAAAGACAGTCATTTCTTTCCAGTTGGAACTCTGAATGCATTTTTCTATAGCAACATTATTATACCTGATATTAGATACTGTAATAGTAATGAGATAGCTTGGATGATTTATGGACTGAGCTGAGTATCTCATTACCATTTATAGCTTTTGAAAAGTGGAAATAAATTCTGGGTTATAAAGACATTCGGTCGCACAATTTTTAAAAAAAATTGAGTACTGCTTAGATTTTTTTTTTTTAAGATTTTGTTTATTTGTGAGAGAGAGCGTGCACAAACTGGGGAGGAGGGGAGAGAGAAGCAGGCTCTCTGCAGAGCAGGGAGCCCGACTGGGGGCTCAATCCCAGGGCCCTGGGATCATGACCCGAGCCGAGGGCAGAACTCAACCAACTGAGCCACTCAGGTGCCACCTGCTTAGATTTTGTAACCCTATAATTCAGTGCTGTCTTTAGAGAGGATTTAGAGGTTAGTTGTCATTTCTGTTGTTGCTTGTGCATTTTCCTCTAGCGGTCTTCTTTCCCTGTCAGGTTGATGACCACTTTTTTTAGGGGTTTGGGAAAATCAGATGATCTATCATAATTATTAGATCTCTAAATTCAGCTGGTTGCCAACTTGTAATAGGATTTCAAAGATGTTTTCTGGTGAGGGAGAGAGACATATCTTAGTACAAAGATTGTGCCTTTAATTTTGTTTCCTGAGAGTTTCTTTGAATGATCATTGTTTCTAGACCTCATTCTGGCTATTTGGGGTTGTCAAATAAATGATTTGGTGTAAAAGAAGCATTAGTATATTTAATATGAAAATACCCATTTCCATTATTAATTGTTTTTTTTAAAGATTTTATTTGAGAGAGGGAGAGCATGAGAGAGAGAGCATGAGAGAGAGATCATGAGCAGGGGGTAGGGGTAGAGGGAGAAGCAGACTCCCCTTGAGCAAGGAGCCCAATGTGGTACTCAATCCCAGAACCCTGGGATCATGACCTGAGCTGAAGGCAGATGCTTAACTGACTGAGCCACCCAGGCGACCCACATTTGAAATGCTTTTTAACCTTTTCTTATTTTTTTTTTAAGATTTTATTTATTCATTTGAGACACAAGAGATAGAGAGAGCATGAGCAGGGGGAGAGGCAGAGGTAGAGGGAGGTAGCAGGCTCCCCACTGAGCTAGGAGCCCGATGTGGGGCTTGATCCCAGGTCTCTGGGATCATGACCTCAGCTGAAGGCAGACGCTTAACCATCTGAGCCACCCAGGCGCCCCTAACCTTTTCTTATTTTTTAATCCTATGGATTATTACGGTGAACCAAACTTATTAAATTTTCATTTTGTTATGATTTGACTATTGTATATAATATTTCCATAATACTATATCATTTCTGTTAATAAAATGTTTTGACATCAAATTTAATTTTATTTTTCTTCTAGGTAAAGAATAGAGTATATCAAGGTAAATATTTAGGCTTATTCTGTTGTTTGTACTCTTCCCTCAGTATTGGTGTTAGATATGAGTTTATGTAAGCTAGAAACTAGATACAGTGACTTCTGATGTCTGATTGACTTACTCACTCCTGAACATTTGACTAATCCTGGGTTACTAGCTTGGATGACAGAGAAGATGGTGATATTTCCAACCGAGATAGGAGATGAGGTGGAACAAATTGTGGGAGTAGGAAGAAGATGATTAGTTTGATTTGGGGCAGATTGGCTTTGTTGATTTCATGCAAATTTATTGCATGTGAACAGTGTTCCTGTGCTAATGGTTTAATTGATACAGTATATATTTAAGTAGATAATTTGAGGAATAGAGATGTAAATCAATGTGCTTGTCTTTTTTGTCTTTTTCTTTTTGCAAATGACATATATTTGAAATGATCACATTTTCTAAGAAGACAGGTACTCCATGAAGGGAAGGATATCAAGCTAAAATACTGTATTATATTTCCTATTTTTGAAATAAATTTAAATTGGAATCTCACTGAAAGAAGGGCCCTTATTATATTTTTCTTATTTTAGTAGTATTTTTACACCCTTATTTGCCATTAACTGCAGGTTGCTTTCTTAAAAGCATAAGTGTTATGTTAAGAAGTTCTTTTTTCTCATAGTGCTAGATAACATACTGCTGATACATTGGGTAATTTAATTTTATTTAGTCATCATAATAATCTTATGGATTTCCCCTCCCCTTTAGTCACTGAACAGCAAATTTCTGAGAAGTTGAAGAATATCATGAAAGAAAATGCAGAACTTGTACAAAAATTGTCAAGTTATGAACAGAAGGTATAATTATTCTTTCATTATTTCAGTATTTCCCCCTCATGATTCCCACTTGAATTATTTCCTCCTATGTTATTTCTCACAAACCACCCGAATCTGAAGTAATCATCATGTGTAAAGCACAGCTTTCTGCTCGAAGGGGTTTCCTACTCAGAAGTTTTGATAACTCTGTGATTTACATTTCTGAATTCTGCATGCTTTATTTTATATAGATTAAGGAGTCAAAGAAACATGTTCAAGAAACCAAGAAACAAAATATGATTCTGTCTGATGAAGCAATTAAATTTAAGGTAAAAATCCCTTCTCTTTTTGAGATTACGTTCTAAAAACAAAAGAAAATGTGTAGTTACTAATTTTGATGTCTTTTTTAATAGGATAAAATCAAGAAACTTGAAGAAACTAATGAAATTCTGGATGATACAGCTAAAAATCTGCGTGTTATGTTGGAATCTGAGAAAGAACAGAATGTCAAGAATCAGGACTTGGTGAGAGTTTTGCTGCAAAATGTTAATTGCAATTTAGCTTTCAGACTGTTCTGTAGGTAGGATGGATTGAACTCTGCATTTTCCCATGCTGAAACCAAAGGAAGATTGGGGGACAGGGAAGTTGAACCTACATCCATCCGTCTTCATGGAATCTTAAATGCTAATACCACAGGCTGTTTTTTTCATGGTCCTAGGAAGTATTTTTGTCCTCAGCCCTGGATAATTTCCATATTGCTTGGCTCTACCCTCTGAAACATGTAGAGCAATGAAGAAACCATAGCCCCATTGAGTAGTTCTAGTACTTTCTTTTGTTTTGCATGATTCCTTTTAAAAACAAGCCTTTTAGAACTGTTTTAGAACTACAGGAAAGTTGCAGAGGGTTCCCATATATCACACACCCAGTTGAGCTTGTGACCTGGCTGACCAGGTATTTGCCAGGTTTCTCCACTCCATATTTACCCATTCCCACTCTTGGTGTACCGTTCACTTTGGAAGGAAGTACCTACGCCCAGCCTGTGGTTAAAAGAGTGAAGAGTATGCTCCACCTCCTTGAGGAGGCAGTACCTTCACAGATCATTTGGAATTCTTCTGTGACATTTGTTTATTTGTCCTCAAGTCGAACCATTTTAGTTCAGGCAAGAGAATTTTTAAAGTGACCTTGGGGATTTTTTTTCTTTACCAGTAGGAAAAACCGTTGGTTTCAACTGGACTACTTGAAAAATTTTTTCTTTTTTCTTTTTTTTTTCCTGCTTTTTTTCACGTTTTTGTCTGGTCATCAGCCACATTATCTCATAGCCAGGAAGGTTGTGCATGACACGTAATAGAGCTCCTGTTATTTTCTTCTTTCTCTTTTTAATTTTATTTATTTGTGAGGGAGAGAGACGGAGAGAGATAGCGTGCAGGCAGAGGGAGAAGCAGGCTCCCAGCTGAGCAGGGAGCTTGATGCAGGACTCGATCCCAGGACCCCGGGATCATGACCTGAGCTGAAGGCACAGGCGCCCCTATTTTCTTCTTTATCTCTCTACATTCTTGACTTTTCTCAGCTAAAACTGAATCACCTGCTTTTACCTGATATGTAGGGGATGGCTCTGGGATAGCATTTCATCTTTTTAGCACATATCCTACTGTTTCTACTAAAATCCTAATACATTTTTTGTGTTCTTCTTCCACATGGCAGATATTGGAAAACAAGAAATCTATAGAGAAATTAAAGGATGTTATTTCAGTGAATGCCTCAGAATTTTCAGAGGTAAAGCTGCCTATAATTTCTACAAGATGTCAATAGGGTATCTTAGTTTTGTAGAGGAGCAGACATTTGATAATGTGCTAGAATATGCAATAAATGAAAACTGTATGACGTCTAATTGGGAAAGTATAACACCCCTCCTTTGGAATTAATTCACTAATAGGAGTGTTTTGCATTAGGTTCAAATTGCCCTTAATGAAGCTAAACTTAGTGAAGAGAAGGTGAAGTCTGAATGCCATCGGGTTCAAGAAGAAAATGCTAGGCTTAAGAAGAAGAAAGAACAGGTAAAGAAAAGTTGATGTCCTAGATTATGTGAACTAGGGGACTCTGAGTATCATTACCTCTTGAGTATCTTTTCTCAGATCTGTTTTTAAGGAAATGAAATATGTATGTGGAATTCTATTCTTAGATATGGAAAGTTTAAGCTCCCAAAATTGAGTGCATGTATATATTCTCCATCTGTTCTGGATTTTCTGTTCTCTACAATGTCTTATAGCATCAGAGTGTTTTTAGTCTTTGTCTTGCCAAATACCAACCAATTATTAACTTGAATAGCCTCAGTGGGATGATGGATTTGCTTCTTAACCAAGGAATTAGGTATTTATGACCCTTTTTTGAGCAATTACTGCTTCACTAACCAAAGGAAGGTTACATGATCTGGAGTGTGGACATGGGAGACAGTGAGATGTGCTCTTCCATTCCTAATGCAAGGGAATTACTTGAATGGGCTGCAATTTTTTGAATGATACAATAACTGGATTGACTTCTTAATGGCTCTCATGTTCTTACTGCGGTTCTGAGGGTAGGAGCCACTCTCCCCCCTCTCCCTTCACCAAGGCCTCAGTCCATAGTGACAGGTCAGAAAGTAGCATGGCTCTCTGCTTCCCTGTTTCATTCACATGGTCCTGATGTGTCCAGTGCAAAGAGCCCTAGCCTTTGGAAATTCATGTGTTTTACCTTTTCAGTTGCAGCAGGAAATCAAAGATTGGAGTAAATCACATGCTGAGCTCAGTGAGCAAATCAAAGCATTTGAGAAATCTCAGAAAAATTTGGAAGTAGCTCTTACTCACAAAGATGATAATATTAATGTAAGTTCATTCTCTTGACTACTTGTTTAATTGTCATGAAATCTATTTGAGAAGCTCTTTCTAATGCCCCTTTACTTCTCTTCTAGGCTTTGACTAATTGCATTACCCAGTTGAATCGGTTAGATTGTGAATCTGAATCTGAGGGTCAGAATAAAGGAGGAAGTGAGTTAGATGAATTAGCAAATGGAGAAGTGGGAGGTAAGTTTGGTTTCAGGGAGGTTGGACCTCCTTTTTTTTGTTCCTGTCTTTACACGATGCTCCTTTTTGGCTAACTAACTTCCTCTTTTTTTTTTTTTTTTTTTTAAAGATTTATTTATTTTAGAGAGAGAGAACGAGCAGGGGGAGGGGTAAAAGGAGAGGGAGAGAATCTTAAGCAGACTCCCCACTGAGCAAGGAGCCCAACATAGGGCTTGATCTTAAGACCCCAAGATCATGACCTGAACTGAAACCAAGAGTTGGGCGCTTAACTGACTGAGCCACCCAGGTGCCCCTGACTAACTTCCTCTTAAGTGTTAGTTGTAGATGCCTTATCAATGGACTTAGAGACACCTCTGTGTGCATTGGGCAGAGGTGGGTTGCAGGGCTGTGATAATAGCAGTGGCTGTGCAGTGAACAGGGATTCTGCTTTTCCATCCCAGTGAGGACTGTTTGTGCACAGGAGCGAGGGCAGCATAGCTGTGACTTAAACCTCTCAGTGTGAACACTATTCAGTAGGAGAAATTTATTTCTCAGTGCCGTGGGGGTGACCTTTGAATTTAGTGCTCATCATCTCTGTAGCTCTGCAGTTTTAAGGCCCACAGCCGATTTCAAGAGTACTAAAGTCGGGGAGCCATAAACTAAGGCCGCGAGAGTGGAGCTAAAGGGTAGCAGTGTTTACTGATGAAGGATATGTTTCTGGACACCGTTTTTCAAATCAGATATTGCTTGCACAGTGGGCATTTTCAGCCACACCTGGTAGCAGATTCAAGGGGAGAACGGAAGAGGAAGTCTTTCTAAATAAGATACGTGACCAGGTGGACATAGATCTGAGCAAGAAAGAAGAGCCTTTGTTCACACATCCCTTCTTGTTTGAGAATGGCACGGATAACACTTTTCTTGTACAAACTGGGAATTCACTTTTTGAATCTCAGTTTGCAATTCTCTTAAAAGTCATGGAGCCTAATTAGTTCTCTTGGTTGATTAGTTTTTACTTTGAATATTTGAACATGGTAAATGTTTAGTTTTGGGGAGATCAAGAAAATACAGTTAAAAAGCAAAGGAGGAAAAGGCAATTAAAGCTTGTTGTATTTTAGGTGACCGGAGTGAGAAAATGAAAAACCAAATTAAGCAGATGATGGACATTTCCCGGGTATGAGCTTTTTTGTGGAGTACCGTGAGTGCCTGTGAATTCTCACTGTGCCTCCCTTGTAAGGATAGTTCTCTCTCTTGGAATTTTTAGACACAAACTGCAATATCAGTAGTTGAAGAGGATCTAAAACTTCTACAATTTAAGCTTAGAGCCTCGATGTCTACTAAATGTAACCTGGAAGGTAGGCTGCTTCCTGAGAAGGAAGTGCTGAGTTTCTCACCCCTTCCAGCGCCACCCTCTCCGCCATTTTGCCAGCCCAGTTCACGTACCCAGCTCAACCGTTTTATCCCTTCCAGAACAAATAAAGAAATTAGAAGATGACCGCCATTCACTGCAGTCGGCCAAAGCCGTGCTGGAGGACGAATGCCAAACCCTGAGGCAGAAAGTGGAGATTCTGAATGAGCTATATCAGCAGAAGGAGATGGCTCTGCAAAAGTAAGATGTTCGTGCCGGGTCGTTAGCCGTCTTGTCCTGAAAGTGAATGTGTGGACTACTGGACAGACTGTTGTCTTTTTTAAAGATTATTTGTAGGTTTTTTCTATTTGTAATGAGTAGGAATTTGTCTTCCTTTCTCGTTTCACATAATTTGTGTTTTCCTTTCCACTGGAATCGGTTGGCAGAGATTGTTGCCTGCAATTTGCTTGGCAGGGAGTGGTTTACTGGTGCGGGAGGTTCCTCTGTGGCACGCTTGGTGAAGACCCAGTCCCTTTCGTGGCTCCACCACGTCCTTGACTTTCTTTCTTTGTGGCATTTTAAGTACGTGTGATCTGTCCTGTGTCTGTTCTAGTACTTCTTAATACAGCCTTTCAGAATCCTGAGTGATTTGCAGGACATGGTGTTTAGTAGAGTAAATACTCCAAAAGGAATATTTCATTATTTGAAGGTATCCTAAGTTTTGGACTTTAGTCAAATGCTCAGATTAAACGTTACATACTGTAATTGTGGCGAGGATGTTTGGAGTTTTAAATATAGGCGTACCTGTTCAGTGTGCATATTTAGGTATTAATCTCCTGAAACCTCCATCTCAAATCTGAAGTTAGGTGTGTGTTTTGAAAGAAACACTTTTGTAGTTCATTGTAAGTTTTTTCCTCCATAAAAATACCCGAATTCTCTAAAAGTAGGTTGTCCATGGCGGTGGCTATTCGTGTTTGCTTCCGTGCTTTACTCTGGTAGATACGGCGGCCTCTGAGGAGGCTTATCCTGCTGAGCAAAGTTCATGTTTTTTAAATGCTCAGGCTGCTATTGCCTGATGCCATGAAACATCGAAAGCATACCACTAATGCTTTCTTGGATTCTTTGCTCACCACGCAGTCAGTTTCGATTTTCCAGATTTTGCTCAGGCCCGCTCTAACTACCTGGCCTGTTTTAGAGAAATATTTCTAATTTCATTACCTTTTTTTTTTAAGAACACTTCTTTGCCACCATCAGTTATCTTAATTTTCTGACAGTTGTTTTTCTTCATGCTGGTCATCATGGCACTGTTTTACTCTGTCCAGTGTGTCTGGTTTGTACCCTGCTCTCCATGCCCAAAGCCTGGGTTGGTTTGGCCCCCATCCTCTTTCCTGCCAGTTTGTGACTGGTCCTCTCGCCACCTGCCCTTTCTCATACCTTCTGGGCTCTCATTCATTCTCTGTCAGCCTCAAGTGGACTTCCTTAAAATGCAAGTCTCTGCATGGCCTCGTGTGCTTAAAATCTATCAGAAGTGCTCCATTCTCTTCTGGATCAATTCCAGACTCTTGCATAGGCACGCAGGACACTTCCCCTCAGGTGTCTGGAGCTGCTTCTCCAGGTGCATTTCCTGCAGTAGCTTCTGATGCTTTCTGACCCGAGCCACACTGAACAGACTTCCTCAACCACTCTGAGCCTCATTGTTACTATGTATGCTGCTTTCTCTGCAGTAAAATGTCTTTTTACAGTTTTTCCTCCTGGCAGTCTCTGCCCATTGAAAGGTTTATGTTCCTTAAAATCTAATAATTCTGCTTTTCTGCTCTTAAAGCTTGGTAGTTAAAGGTTGCTCTTTCTCTTTTCCTGTAATTACCCTAAAGACCACAGCATGTGTCCCGAACCTGTTACAGGGTGACATACGTGGATGGATGTACCTCTTTCTGGGCTTTAGCTCCTGTCTGACTTAGATGCTATTTGAATGACATCTCAATTCTCTACACCTAAACTCCAGAGACATTTCGCTGTCGTACTACAGTGCTTTCCGGCCAGCATTCGTTCTGCTGACACACACACAGTTCCTGTGGCTTTTCGTTCTCTCCCACATCTGTAGTCTTTCATTGGGGGTCCCTTTCATTCTCCTTTTTTTTTTTTTTAAAGATTTTATTTATTTATTTGAGAGAGAGAGAATGAGAGATAGAGAGCACGAGAGGGAAGAGGGTCAGAGGGAGAGGCAGGCTCCCCGCTGAGCAGGGAGCCCGATGCGGGACTCGATCCCGGGACTCCAGGACCATGACCTGAGCCGAAGGCAGTCGCTTAACCAACTGAGCCACCCAGGCGCCCTCCCTTTCATTCTCCTTGAAGGACATCCTTCAGTGACAGATAAGATCAGTTTATCTTTGCATGAAAACGTCTTTCTAAGGGTCATTCTGCTGGCTGTAAAATGCTTGCAGTTACTTAATTTCATGACTTTGAAAATCACCAGTTACTTTCTGGTTTTATAGTTCTTTGAGGAGTCCAGCATCCGTCATCTTTTCCCTCCTCAGTATCTCACCGCTGCCCTTGCAGCCTTCATTCTTTCTGGTTCTTCAGCAGTGTTATTGGGAGGTGTTCAGGTGTGAGGGTGTGTGTTTGCCTTTTTTGTTTCTCTATCCTCTCCCCATCTCGTTTGCATTTATGCTGCTTGGGGTCATTGGCACCTCTTGATTTTGGGGGCCTTTCTTTGTGTATTGATTCTGGTTTATTCTCTCTCCTTGCAAGGTTCTGTTTAAATTTTTTTATACTTCCTCTGTGTTTCCTACACTCTTATCTGAGATGCTGCATTCTGGATGGCGTTTTTTCTGACTGGTCTCCCCATGTCTAAGATCTTACTCTACTTTGTCACATCAGCTGCTAAAATCATTCAGTGAGGGTATTTATTTATTTGAGAGAGAGCACATGCAAGTGTGCACGTGCACAGGGGGTAGGGGGTGTAGAAAATCTCTAGCAGAGTCCTCTCTGAGTGAGGAGCCTGATGCGGGGCTCGATCCCATGACCCTAAGATCATGACCTGAGCCTAAATCAAGAGTCAGACGCTTAACTGACTGAGCCACCCAGGAGCCCCTATTTTTTGAGTTTTTAATTTCAGTTACTATATTTCAATTTTATAGGTTCTGCTAAAATTTATAATTTTGACTTCCACTTCTTTGAATATATAAGCATTATTATTTTAAAGTCTGTGTAATGATTTAGCTATGGGTCCATCCCACTTGTTTTTTAGATTTTGATTGCAATGTCTTCTGGAGTGCCTGGTCAGTTTTGACTGAGTGGCAAAAGTTGTCTATAATAATCCTAGAGGAAACTAGAGGTCTAGGATGACGTTACTTTCCTACAGAAAAGATTTGAGTTTATTTCTAGCATGAGGTTGTTACTTTAATCCAGTCGGCAATTCAGGTCATTTAAAAATGGCCTTGTCCCTTCAAAGGACACTGTGTTGCCTGTTTGCACAGCTCTTTCTAGTCCAGACTCAGAGCCTCGGACTTTTACTGGAGGTCCCCCTTCATTGGCAACCTTGAACTCCATTTTTCTTTGAACCCAGATATGTTGAAAGCTCTGTTCAGTCTCCTTATGTCTCCATTGTCTTCAGTGTGTGGAATGAACCTGGGGGAAAGGTGGCTTCAGATGGCCAGGCTTTCTTGTGATTCTGAGATTCCTTTTTCTTCTGGAGCTTGGCCTCATATATTAACTTGTCAGCTAATATATTAGCTCTCTGATGCCTTCAAGCACACTTTTTTAAAGATTTTATTTATTCATTTGACAGACACAGCGAGAGAGGGAACGCAAGCAGGGGGAGTGGGAGAGGGAGAAGCGGGCTTCCCACAGAGCTAGGAGCCCGATGCGGGGCTCAATCCCAGGACCCGGGGATCGTGACCTGAGCTGAAGGCAGACGCTTAACGACTGAGCCACCCAAGCGCCCCCAAGCACATTCTTTATATTTTTGTCCAATGTTCTAATTATTCTCAGTATTCTCAGACCAACTCATTCATTACTGGAAAAAAGATTCTGATTGATCTTTTCTTCAAGACTCCCATTTCTTACCTCCCTTCCTAAGCCAGAGTCAGGGATTTTTCTGTTGTTATGTGTATCTTTTACATATTAAACTGTGAGCTCTGTTAGTGCAGGGATAGTACTTTGCCCGTACTTTTGTAATAGCATCTTAGGAGGTAACCAGTATAGTATAGCCATTAATAAAATAACTTTGCTGAGTATTGAATGGGCAGTTATAAAAGAATACATAAACCTTTTTCTCTTTCCTGTTATTAAACTTTTTAACCATATAGTTCTTCTCATTTTGCTTCTGATTCATAGAAATTTAAATTTCAAGTTAAGTATCTTCTGAATTAGACTTCTAGGCAAAGATGTGCAAGGGTAACAAAATAGCATTTTTAAATCCTTAAATGTTGCTACCATTGCAATCTATTTTATATATATATATGTGTGTGTGTGTGTGTATATATTTTTTTAAGATTTTATTTGTCAGAGAGAGAGAGAAAGAGAACAAGCAGGGGGAGAAGCAGACTCCTTGCTGAGTAGGGAGCCCAACAATCTATTTTACAGTAGATGGGCATCTTGAGCTTGAAGGTTAATTGGGTTAAAACCAGTTTCCAGTAGGTAAGACCCTGATTTTAGAACAGTTGTGATTCTTTTTTTTTGTTTTATTCACTAGATATTACTAATTCCGAGGTTTTTCTCTTTCTCGAATCATCATTCCATTGAAATAGGTAGTAGGAGTTCCATATCTGAAGTGTGGGAATGTTCTGTGGTTAATTGCATGGGTTAGAAGCTAGAAGACACGTTTTAAAAGGCATTCTTTCTTTCTCTGGCTGTCTTATCACAGTACCCATTTTGGATTGAGAGGTGGTTCTTCCATGGTAAAAACAGGGGAAGTAATTACAGATTTTTCTGTGGTAGGAATAAGGGAAGTGTAATTACTCCTTGCTTTGGCCTAAGAAGCTTAATTGTGTGAGGGTGATCAGCCATGGCCTTCCACAGTCAAGTAACCTTTCAACGTGTTAAGCACAAGGAACTTGCCCGTGGGCATTGAGTGTGTTTGACATTTGCTAAACTATTTACGAGAAAAAATTATAAGTCAAAATGCAGGTGATTTGCCGACAGGCCAGAGATTGATTTTTATCCTGGAATGGCAAGTTTGAATTCTTTCCTGACTTTGTATAGTGTGTGCGTTTTAGAGGGAAGGGGAGGTGATTGTTTGAGGCATTTAGACAGACTGCTGGAAGACAGAAACACGTCCGACTGACAACTGATTTTGTCTTAGGAAACTGAGTCAGGAAGAGTATGAGCGGCAGGAGCGAGAGCAGCGACTGTCAGCTGCGGACGAGAAGGCGCTTCTGGCTGCGGAGGAGGTGAAAACGTACAAGTGAGTTCAGCTGCAAGAGCGGGGTCTGTGCTGGGGGGACTGCTGTTGATGTCTTAAAGACTGTGACGTTGTGTAGAACAAAACAGCACGGAACGTAAATAAATGGTCAGAGGATGTGAATAGTTAATTCCTGTGAGAAAAAAAATGCATTTTAACAAAGGGAACAATGTCACATTAACAACCATTGCCGTATACCCCATACTGGCAGGACTGTCAGGGAACTTGGTTCGTGCCGGGCGCTTCTGTGTGTTGGAGGAATTCTTGCTGGAAGCCCGCTTGCTCTAGTGATGATTCTGGAACCATTCCAGCGGTTGTGCCACTTGATAGACCCAGTAGTCACAGCTCTGGGCAATTTCCTATGGCTGTCCTTAAAGGAAGAAGCAGCTTTGTGGAGGAAGATAGTCATAGCAGGATTGCTCGAGAACGTTGAAGAACAGTCAAGAAAATTAGTGTGTCAACTCAGACTCTCCAACCAATTAAATAATGAAATTAGGTAGTCTTAGTTTTGATCGTATTATACTCTTACTGTAACCACGTGAGGATGTTTCTCTGCGTGAGTGCGGGTGTTGCAGGAAGCGGGGGCATGGTGAAACGGTTTCAAATTTTCATTAGTTGCACTTTAATTGATAAAAGCAAGTGTGATTCTTAGGCGCAGAATTGAAGAGATGGAGGATGAATTGCAGAAGACAGAGCGCTCATTTAAAAACCAGGTAATTCTGCCCTGCGGCTGCAGGCTTCTTGGGTGTCTGACAGGCTGGTGGGGGCTGCATCGGTGAGTCCTCACACGGGGTCATCGTGCGTTGTCTTTTTCAGATTGCTACTCATGAGAAGAAAGCTCATGATAACTGGGTAAGATTGTTTTTTTCTTTCCTTTATTGCGTGTGTCGTCGGCCACCACTAATTGGGATGTTTGTCTCCCGTAGCTCAAAGCTCGGGCTGCGGAAAGGGCTATCGCCGAGGAGAAGAGGGAGGCCGCCAACTTGAGACACAAGTATGTGGTCTGGAATTCCAGTTTCCCAGCGCGCTCGGGTTTCCAGAGGCAGTGCTGCTTGGTATCTCCTAAGGCACGGAGGTTGTATTTCATAGTTAAGTCCGTTCTTTCTCTGTATTCAAGGTTACTGGAATTAACCCAGAAGATGGCCATGCTGCAAGAAGAGCCTGTGATTGTGAAGCCGAGGCCAGGCAGGCCCAACACCCAGAACCCTCCGTGGCGAGGTGGGCCGCACTTTCGGGGGCAGCCCCCGAGGCTGTTGGTGTGGACTGTGTGTGCGCTACCTTCTGGTGCTGTGTATCTCCGTTCTGATGCCCTAGAAGTCATCCCAGAACTTACTAAGAAAAGAAAGGTTGCCTCAGAGTGGTAACAGTTCCCTGTCGTCTTTAGGTCCTCTGAGCCAGAATGGCTCTTTCGGCCCGTCTCCTGTGAGTGGGGGGGAGAGCTCCCCTCCTCCAACGGCTGACCCGCCTGCGAGACCTCTCTCCGCTACGCTTAATCGAAGAGATATGCCTAGAGGTGAATTTGGTGAGCATTCACATTTTACCTTGTAGTAAACTATTTCTAGAAGTTCCCCCCCGCCCCACGTTTTATTTGAGAATTCTTTGTTGTTGTTGTTTTAAATTTAAATTCAATTAATTAACATACAGTGTGTTACTGGTTTCAGAGGTAGAGTTCAGTGATTCATCAGTCTTATATAACACCCACTGCTCATTCCATCATGTGCCCTCCTTAATGCCCATCACCCACTTACCCCATTCCCTGACCCCCTCCTCTCCAGCCACCCTCAAGTTTGTTTCCTATCATTAAGAGTCTTTTATGGTTTGTCTTGAGAATTCTAATGCAAGCAACGTTTTAGAATTTGCGTCTGTCCAATATAGGGAAGAAAAAGTCTTAATTTGTCTTTGGTGTGTAGTCTGCCACAAGATCTGCGTTAGAATAGAAAGCATTTATTGTTATTAACACTAACATATATATATATAACATATAACATATATAATTGTTACTGTTTGTTTTTTACTTTTTTACTGTGAAGTATAAGTCTTTATCTTTACGTTTCTATGGAGTTCCTCTCTTGGATATTACAAAAGTAGCTTCAAGACTGTATAATTAATGCAGCATACATCCATTTCTCGTGAATACACAGCTGTGAGTCTGTTTCTAATCAAAGACACGTCTGTAATACTTGGTAAGATATGAAAGACCACACAGACTGAAAATATTAGCCTGTACAACTGTATCAGGCCTGTAACTCGAAGCACCAGCTGGTGCTGTTAACGTGCAGGTTTTATTGCTGTTCTTTCAATCCAGCAGTTCTTGTTTTCTTTTTTTTTTTTAAAGATTTTATTTCTTTGACAGAGATACAGTGAGAGAGGGAACACAAGCAGGGGGAGTGGGAGAGGGAGAAGCAGGCTTCCCGCTGAGCAGGGAGCCCAGTGTGGAGGCTCAATCCCAGGACCCTGGGATCATGACCTGAGCCGAAGGCCGACGCTTAACCGACTGAGCCACCCAGGCGCCTCTCTTGTTTTAATTCTTTAACTCTGCGCCTAAGTTGGGATTTCCCCTCATGTATTAGGAGGCCCATTTTAATGTTGCTTTCTAGGTAGAGTTGAACCCTAACCTGTCCACAGTTGGTTTGTTTCTTCTGAAAAATCCATACAAGGGCTCTGTTCTTTCTTTCTCAAGGGTCAATGGACGGACCTCTACCTCGTCCTCGATGGTCATCTGAGACATCCGGGAAACCCTCTGCCTCTGGTAAGGGATCTGAGTGTGTTCAGAGTCTAAAATCATGGAAGAAGTGGGCAGAGGATCTCTTATTCTTCGTCAAAGACTATATAAGTCAGGATAAGTCTAAATCCGTTCTCTGGCCTTCAGCAGATCCGGGATCTGGTGCAGCTCCCATGATGAACAGCAGCTCGAGAAGCTCTTCCCCTACTAAGGTGATGGATGAAGGCAAGGTAAAGTCTGCAGTAGCTCTGAGTTGTAATTCGGTATTTCAGGAAACCTTAAACTTTCGCTGTGACACCCTCTCTTTGCGTCATCCGTCTCCTGTTTGTGTGTCTGTTACATAGCTGTACTATCTCATTTTTTTAAAAAGCAAACTGTTCCCCAAGACCTGGAAGGCCCTTCAGTCCCCAGCAGTACATCTGTGGCTGAGCACTCAGTAGTAGTAAGTACTTGGAGGTTGAGGACTGAGCTGAGCTGTTACTTGGTGTATTTCTGGAAAGGGTATGAAGAGCATGACACTCACCTGCTTTGCTTTGAATTGCACGGCAGTATTGATCTTACTGTTGTCTTTGACTTGGAAGTGTTGCTGGGTTGCTGAAATCTGACTGGTTGGGTTTTTTTCTTTTTCTTGTTTGGATCAGGCTGTTAACCTGGTGGGAACATCTGTTGTGACTAAAGAGTGCGGAAAGTCATCCCTGCAGCTTTATACTGTGCGTGCTTCAGCGTTGAGTGTTCTGAGGCAGAGTACATTGATTATACATAGCATCGCTCCCCGTTTATGTCTGCAAGTGTTGCTATTGAAGAATTACCTCCAGTTGTATACTAGGCAGACCCTGGTTGGAATAACCGGAACTTGCAGATTGGTAGTGGAAGAACGCTTGCTGGAAGTGAAGTCAGTCATTCCTGTTGTGCCGTCGCCAGCAGTAGCCTTCGGGGCCGTGCACATAAGCGTATTCTCTCCGAGAGCTACACCGGGCCTCTGAGCATGGCTCCCAGTGCTGCTCTGTGCTGAAATCAAAGTGTGTGTGTTCTGATTATTTTGAATTTCTAGCCCCGTTTCCCATGGGAAAAGTCAGTGTCTCGTAATATAAAGCACAGCATTATTGGTGCCTGAACGTAAATATTGGAGCCGTGCCTGCCTCCCTGTATATATAATATTGCTTCTTTTGGAAAATGCTTCCAAATTTCAGCGCTGGACTCTAGGAACACGCATTTCTTGAGGTCTTTTTATCCAGGGCAGCTTGGACCTGAGACCCCTCTGGAGTGGACTCCGAGAGCCGAGGCCCCTGTGTTGGGAGAGGGGGGCAGGGGCTCAAGGACAGGCTTGGAGGCAGACCTGATCCTGAGCTGCAGTGTGGCTTCTTACCTGCTGGGTGACCTTCAGCAGATTATCTGATACTCTGTGCCCTTAGGTAAAACAGGATGTTCCTGCTTGGAGATTGAAAGATCTGAGGATGAGAGAGAATACATGAAAGGAAATCGAAGGCACTCTGAATAGTGGCTCTTGTGACATGTGTGGAGAGTGGATTTTTCTTTGCCCTTTTGTTCTGTCCATGCTCACTGGGAAGGAAGGATGGGGGGCTGAAGGGGTCGCCCTAGGAACCAGATCATGGTGTTTGCGGGAGTCCCCTCTGTTAGCGTCCTTCAGCCATCCTCTTGCTTTCTCTTCCCTTTGCATATTCCAGCAGTAACACAACTCCGGGGAACCTCTTCACTTCAGTGCCATCCCTTTAACCTGCCTAAGCTCCCGGCGGGACCAGGTGGGAGGGGGCAAGTTTTGTTGCACTGCTTCTGTTCTTTGGACAGGTGCCCGCCATCTGCTTCGTTGGGTTTCAGCTTTTCCTGGTGTTGGTGCTTTTGTGTGTCATACCAGAGTCTCTCAAAACTGTAATTGCTTCTGCTTTGCAGGTGACTATGGCTGCAAAAGGGCCCCCTCCTTTCCCAGGGGTGCCCCTCATGAGCCCCCCCGCGGGAGGCCCTCTGCCACCGCCCATTCGATACGGACCACCTCCTCAACTGTGCGGGCCTTTCGGGCCTCGGCCCCTTCCTCCACCGTTCGGTATGATGATTGAGTAGTCGTAATTGACTTGTAGAGTGTAATTCTTTTCTGTCTGTGCCTTGTTGAAATTTTAATAGTGGTTTTTACAGGCCTATGTAATGAAAGTGCAAGATAAACAAGTGCATCTTCACTTTTCCTCAAGTTTTTACGACACACGGGGTGCTGCATAATCCCCCTATACTGAGATGGGCAGTAGGTCTCTTGTAGACAAGAGATAACTAATAGAAAGCCAGAAATACTACTTCTGCAGATGGCTAGAACTAATTCTCCAAACTTAAGAGCTTACCGAGTCCTCTAGAACATTAGATACATAGATTTTGAAACATAAAACTTGTAATCACCATGATGAAAGTATAAGCAATGGATCAGAGAGTATAAAAGAGGGAACGATTCAGCTTTGACTTCCTGCCTTGGCAATAAATGAGAAGTGTTAGCCCTAGAGAAGGTTGAGTTTAATGCCTAATAAATATTGCTGAATTTAATTAGGGGGAGCTAGAAGGCCTTCCCCAATAGGGCAAGCGCCTGGACTTGGATGGCAAGTTTAGGTCCATGCAGAGCTACTACACGAATCATTGACACAGCAGTTGACACTGGAATTTCCCTTTATCAAAATGTCTTTGTTGCATAAAACCCTTATTTCATAATCTGTCGTCTTGCTACGACCTAGGGCACTTTCAGGTACTAAACTGAGCCCTTGTGAGAGAAAGAAGGCAGAACTGTGTCATAGAAAAAACAAGCCAGCTAGAGCCATGTTTAGCCTGCGTGGCTTCCTGGCTGGCCATCGGCATAACAACTTACCTCAGTTTGCCTCGTCCCTGAAGTCGGGGATGCCACCATCTGACCTCTGAAGTTGTGAGAAATTATAAAGACTGACATATCCAGAGTCCTCCACGTTTACATGTGTTCGTATGTATTTACAGGACTTTTTATTTTTCCAGGTCCTGCTTTACGTCCGCCACTAGGCTTAAGAGAATATGCACCAGGCATTCCACCTGGAAAACGGGACCTGCCTCTTGATCCTCGAGAATTTTTACCGGGACACACACCTTTTAGACCTTTAGGCTCTCTTGGCCCAAGAGAGTACTTTATTCCTGGTACTCGACTACCACCTCCCACCCATGGCCCCCAGGATTATCCACCTCCACCTGCTGCAGGAGACTTACTGCCTTCTGGCTCTAGAGACGAGCCCCCACCTGCCTCTCAGAGCAGTAGCCAGGACTGTTCACAGGCTTTAAAACAGAGCCCGTAACTCTTGACCTCTGACATTTAGTCTGAGAAAGTGGACTGTGTACTATTCGTTAGAGTTAAAGGATTTCATTGGCTTCAGAATCCAAGTTTATTTTAAAAGGTTTTTAGAACTAAGCTGCCCTGGCAGTGTGCATTTTTGAGCCAAACAATTGAAAAATGTCATTTCCCCCCCGAAATAAAAACCTCATAAGCTAGAGCCTCCTTACAACTTTGAAATGTGCAATAAAGAATACCTGTGTTTTAGTTAATGTAGCGTATGTAACTGCTAAATGATTTAGAATGTCATGAGAAATATGAACATTTCCTGTGGAAATGCTAGAAGAACATGTATTTCCATTTATTATCCTATTTTTAGTGTACACCAGTTGAACACAGCAATGGTGTTTATTAGCTTGGTTTTTTAAAATACTGGTCGCAAAGACTGTTACGCTAAAAATGTTTACTAAAAGATCACTAAACTTTCTCTCCCTTCTTGCTGAAGTTCTTTGTAGTAATAGTTCATAAAAATTTGGTTATTAGTATTTCCCAAGTGTCTGTTGCTTCATTGGATTGTTTTCTCATGAGACTTGTACCATTCTGGAACCACGTAAACTCGGGCTCGCAGAACTGCCCACAGTGACTTGGCCGCATGCTCCCTGTTGCTCAGTGCTCGGGAGGTTCAACCTAAAGTCCCTTGGAAACACCACAATAACCGTATGTCTTCCTTGTCCTTCAGAGAAGTTGGGGGCCCATCTGCAGCGTTCATGTGCTTTCCAGTGACTTTTGCTGCTTACTTGATGATGGTCTCCTGAGGATGAGCTTACAGTAGCAGCAAGAGTTGTTTGACCTGATGTTCTGTTGCTTTTACCATCCTTGCATTAAGGGTGCGTAACAGAAAACTGAAAATGGTATGTTGTGACCATAAAAAGATTTTTCAAAAAGTACAGTCTATTTCTCCCACACGTTGCCTCTGGTTTTCAAAGAAAATGGCAAAAAAGCTCAGAAGAACAATACTATGAGAAAGAATGATTTCGGACTCTGTAAGCCTTTGGGCTGCCTGCAGTTCTTTTTGTTGATTACTACTCCAAAATTAGTATTTGAATGTTGGCACTTTTATTTAAAAATCAGTAAATCTGATAATCTGGGATTACATCATATTTAAAGTATTCCTAATAATACCTAATAGGTATTATTACATCATGTTTTTAAAATTAAATCCAAATTATAAAAGGCTGGTAGTATTCACTGCTTAGACTATCCCCTTCTCCAGAGTTCTATGTCCTGATACTACTGAAACCCAGACCGTGATCTGTCACCGTTATAATACTTAATGTACTAATACCCTGTAAAATAAAAAGCAGCAAAAGCTTCACTGTGAAACAGATTTTTTTTTTTTTACACTAAACTACCAGAAGATAGCACTTTGGAAAGATAAGGACCACTGAAAGATGACAACTCTTTAAAATTCATAAGGAACACAAATTGTTCTTCAGGAAGAGAATTCATGTATGTCTTCCCATTTAATATCAAGAATAGAGAAGACTGAAGAGGAACACCTCCACAGTTAATAGCAGAGGTTCTTTTTAACCATGTAAAATAAGACTGAATCCACAAATACAACTCTTGAGAAAGGTCAGTCTCTTCAGGACACAAAATAATGATGAGGTTAAGTAACTGCTAATTTTATATAGTAATGAAGTAGAGAGAACCTGCTACCAAAGCCAATCAAGTTGGAAAGGTAAATCATCATAAAACCAGAGCTAGTTTTTTTTACCTCTAAGTATTTTTGGTGTTTGTCCTGTGTCTCCTGTGCCCGGCAGTCCCTGGGAGTCTCATGCTCACCTGAGCCGCGCCGCTGCCTCGCCGCCTCCCGTGGCCCCGCGGCCGCCACAGAGCCGGCTGGCTCCCTGTCCCAGCTGCTTCACGGGGCCTTTGCAGCTCATCGCGTGTCTGGGCTTTGATGCTAAAATGCTCATTTATGAAGCAGCAGCGTTTCAGCCTGGAGACGTTTCTACTACAGTTCTTTTTTCTTCATTGGAAAGTAAAAATTTGTGGGAAGTACGGTATTGTTTCTACTGCTTCCAGATGATCACCTGTCACCCCCTTCAAGTCTGAATTAAAGCTACGCTAATCACACAGCATTCCTTTAATACTGCTGAAAGCACGAGTTCACACAAACCATACTTATGTGAACGACAGCAGGTGCTGCTTCATACAGATTATCACTGACAGACGTGGCTTATGGTCTATGAGAAAAGAGAAAGACCAACGGATCACTTTCGCTACATTTTAATAGTAGGTACTTTAAGGGATTATTTTTTAGGTCTCGTCAGCAACATCAAACAGAAGGTACTGAGTACTCCACAGGGTACAGAGCGCTGCCAAGCACCTTAGAACATTTACAGGACTTGGGAGAAAATGTGGTTCTTGCCCCTTGAGGAGCTGACAGTCGGGGGCTGATAACTCAGTCTAAGGGCTGAGTGAACAACAAGGTAATTTATTAAGGCAAATTCTTCATCCCCTTGAGCTATTGTGGACTGAATCATTTTTGGAATTAATCTAATTAAGACAGGAGACAAGACTTAAATTTGGTTGAGAATTCTTTCAGGCTCCAAGTTTTTAACATCCATCTTAAACGGAACCGACAGACAACAAGAAGTAAAGACCAGCTTTCTCGAAGTGCAAGGGCTAGAACACTTCACTGTGGCTACTTATTTTAAATAGCACACATTGAACCTTGGGCCTAGGGTTATTACACTAGTTTAAAAACAGGCCAAGTACTGGCGCTGCGTCCCTCTCGTGCTAGCATTTGTCATTCAACATAGTGAACGTTAAACGTGTGGGTCTGCATCTAACAGAGAGCCCGCCCCCAATGTTAATGTCCTGTGTATCAAATATCCACCTCGTGTGTCCTCTGAAAGTTTTATTTATGCCCCATTAAGTCAAAAGTAATGTAAATAGTCAAATTATAATAAGCTAATGACCTGCATATTTCCATATAGATGAAAGTCAATATATCTACATAGGAAATAAATGGCAATCCTATCTACCTATATAAAAACAACTAGAGTAGCTCCAGATTTTGCATACTCACCACTCTAAGAAGAGGTATGCAGGCTTTAATGTTTCACAATCAGTTGTCAGAAAAACAGCAGTTACTCCTGCAGTATCTCATTAGCATCTGACTCAAATTAGATTACATGACTTAGAAGACGTTACAAAGCCATCTAGAAATCTGTAATTATTCTGACATGGTTCCATCATTAACCCTAGAATCACTATCAGAAAGAATAACAATGTGATGTAGAAGAGCAGCTAATCAACGGACTACAAATGTGCTCTTTCAGAAAAACAATCTGGTCATCTGGAAAAACCACAGCTACAACCTGGGAACCCTCCCATCTGGGATAATGATCTGGCCAAGGCACACGATTTCTAAACAGGAAAACTATGAGATCAGGGTGAATTTAGGCCACCCCGGAGGAGCAGCCTATAATTTTCCAGACTGACCTCCCTGGGCAGCATAAGCGGTCCAATTCCTCCTCTCAGAACAGTTTCATACTCTCCTACCCCCATCAACCCAGAGTTTGGCATTAACTCAAAAAACCAAAGAAGCATATTGGAGCAAAAGTGAACGGATGTGTAAACTCTAGCACATTCTTATTGCTGTGTTAATTTTGAAGACGAGCACATCCTACCCACAGCAGTGTTGTTCCAGGAAGCAGGGCAGGAATAGTGGTAAGTTAGAAAAGAGACTATGAATTGCACAAATACTATAAAAGTAAAAACATGTTTCAAAACTACAATAAGCCCGTATCCAAAGGAGTCGTCTAGGTCAGTGGCGTGCTGGGCTGTGAATCCCGCGGGCTCGCTCTGGCCTGCCGGCGCCCGCGAGGCCTGCCACCTGCCTGGCAGAGGGGGGATGCGCTACACGGAGCCGGGAGGGTTGCTAGTGGGTGGGAGAATTCACAGACGTTCCAGGTGACTCATGTCAGGATCATTCCTTGTGCAAAGTCTGATGTAGATGAAGATAAAGTGGTTTCTTGGTCAATAACTGCAATTTCTTTCTTTTAAAGTCAGTGGGTTTCTTGTATCTGTAACCACAGTAGAAAAGTCATGGTTTAACATACTTGGATAACTGACCTGCTCTACAGTCACACACTAAGGAGAACCAGTCAGCATTACACCGGTACGAAGCATGTGCGCGCATCACTTACAGTTCTATTACAATCGGCCCGGCTTTAATTTCATCCATCTCCATGAAAGCAAAGCACTTGGTGCTGGTGAACCTTTTTTTAGGCTTGTAGTGTTTGAATTCAAAGAAGATAGCGGCACCTATGGAATGAAAACAAACCACATCAGCCACAGATGGCGTATTTCCATCGTGCCCATCAGTTTCCTCCATCACCGGAAGCACCGAGCACGTGGCAGCCGGCATAATCTGACAAAGTAACCTTTGTCAAACGGTCTCTCCGATGACAGCACTGTAGCTGCCTCCTAAACTCTTAATGTGAACGCAGTGACATTTCTCCATACCCTCCACTCCTACACGGCACAGCCGAACTTCCTGAGCTGGGCTGACTTGAGAATGTACGTAGTTCACACACGGGGAGAACGCCTTAAATGCCACACAATGAACACAGAGGATGCTGGGGAAGCATGAACCTGATCCACAGACACTCAGCAAGTAGCCGAGGCCTGTGAGAGTTCGTCAGAACATCGAAGCTCACGGCTCTGCTCCTCCCCCTGAAACAAAGGCTCAAAAATTCAACCGTTTTGGGTGTTTTGGAGTTTAAACAATATAAATCATGTTCTGGTTCAGTGTTTAACTATTACCTGTTTTCTAAGACCTTTTTAGTATTCAAAGCACTGTTTTGTTTCTCCTGGAATTACCCGTTTTGGAAGACAAAGGTCTAAAGAGCAAGCCTATTCCTAGTCCACTCCTCCCCCAAAAAGCGGCAATGAAAAATTCAGATGTTTTTATCTCCCCAAAGCCCAACAGATAAGCATTCCCCACAGAAAGAAGCTTACAATAAGTTGCCTCATCAGTGTAGCCAAGAACAATTTCTTTTTTAAAAGATTTTATTTATTTGAGAGAGAGAGCACACGCGTGCGTGCGAGTAGTGGGAGGGGCAGAGGGAGAGAGAATCTCAGGCAGATTTTGAGCTGAGCACAGAGCCCGACGCGGGGCTCGATCTCACAACCCTGAGATCATGACCTGAGCTGAAATCAAGAGTTGGACACAATCAACTGAGCCAGCCAGGTGCCCCAAGAACCATTACTTTCTAAAGGCGGCACAGAAACTAGGAAGGAAGTTGGGGTCTCACTCTTAACCGGCTACTTCCTAGTTCTGCCTGAACCCGAGTGGGGCTGGATCTTGCTTGGCTTTTAAGGACAACACACATCCAATACTTTTTAAACCGAGGACAAAACTCACAAGTGACAAGAGGTTTAACAATGTTCAGAACTGGGCGCCTGGGTGGCTCAGTCGTTAAGCGTCTGCCTTCGGCTCAGGTCGTGATCCCAGGGTCTTGGGATCGAG